GCACACCAACTCAGGACAATAGGCAACCCAGTGAACCAAATCAGCTGTGCCAGGACAGCTCCTGGCACAGCTGATGCTACTCTAAGGATGACATCTGTTTTTAGCCTTAGTGAGATAAGGAAGGAACTTATTCCGTGTCATTTTGAATCTAACACACCCTTGCCACTGTACAGACAAGCACATATAAAAACAAAATTGGAGCTCACAAACAATTTTAGTCAGATGGACTCATTTAGTTCAGCAACCTATTATAAAACATCTGTGTATAGTGTTACTGCCAATAACTAAGACCCTGGTGGACTGAATCATTAATGAATGTAACACTAAGACCTGCCTGCTATAGAGATCTGTAAGATAAAGTGATAGCTCTGCCTCTTAGATTTAAATCTTGCTGATGAAAATATAATCTTATATGGGACTTTGCCTCAGTTAAGTCAATATCCAGATTCAGTTGCTTTGCAATAGGTCTTGTTAAGGTTTCTGGTGGGTTATAAAAATAATTAGTATGCTGAGACAATTTTATATTGCAAACCTATCGAATAATAGACAAAGACACAGACCAGTTGGTATAATAGAGTAGCAAAGTAAAAGAAAAAGCTAAAATATAACCTTGATTAATTTTTGTACGTTAAATACAAAACAACAATTATACTATAGCTTTTTTCTTGATTTCCTCATTTAACAATATTGATACAAGTGTTTGTAAGGGGAACAGTGGAAAGAGAACATCTCGTTCTGGCTCCAGAGCTGTGAGAGACCTTGTGATAAGCTGAACTTACCTTTTGAGAGGCCATTATTTAGGCTTAGCATGCTTACATTCTAGAGAGTATATTTTTAAGTATGAATAAAAAAATCCAGAAACAGACTGCTATATCCTACAGACAGGATTAAAAAAACCCAGAAGAAAATAAGTTTTGTAATATTTCTATACATGGGCAACTGGTGTCACCTTATTTGGGTGGGGGGTCCCCTGTGGCCATTCTCACTGACTGGGGGGTGTCCCCCCACAGCCAATTACATTAACCAGGAAGCAGCCGCACCGCTCCCAGAAATGGCCATGGTGCTTCATCCAGTGCTCCCACTCCCCAGCTGGCACTCACCAAGGGGGCACTGGCGCTCCCACCTGCCCCCCTTGCCCATTGCTTAAGCAGGGAGCACAGCCAGTCAGGGGGTGCACCAGCACTAAGGGGGTGCACGTGCCCTCCCGTGCAGCCCCTATGTGTCGCCACTGTTTCTACACCTTTTAACTTCTCTTTGATGTTCTGTAGGTTTTCAACTGTTGTCCATCGGCAGAGTTCCTAATGCCACAAGCAATATACCTGGTCCCACTGGTAGTCCCAAAAGCTATATTGCTATGGAAATAAACAGTAGCACCCCATCAGCTTCCACAGTAAAAACAAAACCAACCTGGGAATCATTTAATACTCAAAGAACTACTTTTGAGCAATCTGCTTCTGCCAGAAATATTGACCATACCTTTAGTGGCATTAATGGTCACCTGGTTAGCATAGAAGAAAGCTCTTCAGCAAACACTGTGATGAATAAATCTTCAAGAAACAATCCTGTATTACCTGAGAAGAGAACACAGACAGAAGCTGAAACCAGCCATTTAGATACTAGCAAAAACTCATTGCTTAGGAACAAAATAAATGTCAGCAATGTGACTTCTCTAGCAAGCAAAGTTTCAGAAAGAGAAAATAGCCACAAAGTTGAACACTCAGCACTCAAGCAAAAGGATAGTCGTTTACCATCTGTTTTCACTGGAATCACTATCCCACCGAAAGTATTTGACACAGATCAGGAATCAGATGCATTAACAATGGCTAAAGTATTAACTTGTGCTGATTTACCCTGTTTTCCTGGGGTCCCTTGTAAATCAAGCCAAAACGGAAGCTTCAGATGTGGTCTCTGTCCTTATGGATATTATGGAGATGGTGTCACTTGCAGAGGTATTGCAAATAATTATACTGAATACTTTACAACAAAGGATCGTATGATATTTTTAAAATTTCAAAATATAACACCTAAAATGAAAAGAACCCCAACTTGACTTTTATTTAATTATTATCATAGGTACAACTTAAATGTTCTCACCAATTGTTTTAATTGTGTGAATGCATATTTAAAAAAACGGGGTTTTTTCAGTGTCTGTAAGTTTCCATGCTTAAGGGCAAGGACCTTAACTGATTCTATGTGATATATTTAATCACACTAAGTAAGGCTTAATTAGGACAAAATTCTGCTGTTGTTCTCCTTATTCCTCTGCTGTTTTTTTTCTTATTGCCCTGCAGCAATATGTAGGCACTCATGTGGCAAAAACATGGAGTGTGTGGCACCTAATATTTGCAAATGCAAACCTGGTTACTCTGGTTACAGCTGTCAGACTGGTGAGTACAATACGCTGGATTTATCCTATCTAAGTAGCATGTACTAAAGGATGCATCTAAAATAATTGTTGGTTTTACCCAGCTTTTTGTCGACCTGATTGTAAAAACCGTGGAAAGTGCATTAAACCAAATATTTGTGAATGCCCACCGGGTTACAATGGCTCAACCTGTGATGAAGGTAAAGGCATCATTTGTTTCAAATATAGTAAGTCCCCAAGAAGTCTGATACAGCAATCACAATTTTGAATATCCATCTTGACAGGGGTGAGATATCTGTTTATTTACACAACTTCTCGAATAAAATGGAGATATAAACTATGCAATAAAGCTTTCTTTAATGTTATTGAAATTGAACATTACTTGTGCTTAAATTCATTAATAAGCTCAAGTGATATATATTTAAATTTAGTGATACAGTATATAACAATAAAAACAATTTTGTTTTATTTTATCTATAACATCATAAACAGTCTTGTTTTAGTGAAAGCTGCATATTACTTCTATTAATACAATGCATCAGTACAGTGCATACCATATATATGTATACATGTACGCATATTCACATAATTAGGGATCTGTATTTGCTATGAGTATAGTTTTAATCTCATTCATCTCCCCAAGATATTCAGTTCAGTAAGCTATTCATTGATGGGCACTTCAACCCTTGGCTGTGACTAAAAAAGTTCCAAGCAGCACAAACCATTTTTATTTTTTTCTGTTTGAAATTTGACATTGTTCTTAGGTTTACCCTCTCCCTACTATGCATTCTTAGAAACTCTTGATAAAATGAAGAGTAGGCCCTTTGAGTAAAATTTTGCCTTCAGTTGCATAGAGAACAATGGGCAATATTAATTGCTGATACACACAGGTGCAGCTACATTGATTTCAGTGGAAATGCTGCAGTCGGTACACTTCGCCAATGGGGAATTTGATCAATGCGAAGTTGCGTGTGCATCTGATAGAATCGGACACTTTCTTGTATTTGCTCCTATACCAGTTGCCACATCTTCATTTTAATTCCAAGTTTTTTGCATATAATCATTAGCTGATTAACAATAGGTAACCTTACCAGCTGTTTTAAAATAACTAGTGCAGTGGATCTTTTTAGAGCTGACTTCTTGACATCATAATTCTATACCTGCAGCACATTGTATCCCACCATGTCAACATGGAGGCACATGCTTGGCCAGGAATCTCTGCACCTGCCCTTATGGCTTTGTAGGACCACGGTGTGAAACAAGTAAGCATATAAATAAGGAGAAATCAAGAATATGATATGTATTCCCCTACAGACATAGTAAAAAAAAAGTCATGCTTTAAATTTTTGATACCCTGTGTTTACTGTTAGTAAATAAAGGAGTACATGAAGGTTACATAACTGGGGCATCAACTAAATGTTTATACAGACTGCTGAATGGGTGAAATCCTACATAGTATTATTATTTTCCATGTAGGTAGATGGAATTATTATTGAGGGTGGGATATTATAACCAGAACAAGTGCAATTTTTTGGCATTTGGTTGCTATTTATGACTTTTCCTTAAATTGATTGGTTGGTGAGGGGATGGTCTTCCTTTAGAAGCTAATATTAGCAAATAACAAATCAGTGGTTAATAAGACTCCCTGAAATTAAAAACACGTTCATGGACATTTTCCTTGATCTCGCATGCAAAATGGGTATCATAGCTGGACGTGTTGAACAGGTTTAGTCCCATGGATGTTTTCTGTTTCATCTGACTTTATATACTCCAGCTACTTCACCCCAGTTTTGGAATAATTCTCATAGCAGTCTTAACTGTTAGTAACTGACAAGTCTGTATATAAAAAAAACCCAGTTTTTACAGCAATTCTATTTTACTCTCTTAGTTACTCTTAACATCCTTACCTCTGTAGGCTCTTTTGTTTTCAGGTGTCATGAAATATGAATATGGCTTTGAAGTATATTGTAAAACCCATATGGAAGGGAGAGTTTTTTGAAGAACTGCCTCATGGTTCTCCATAGCCAGGAGTGCTCCTAAAAGCTTCCTCCTTGCCAGATAGTCACAGATCTCACCATGAATCAATTCTGAGGAACAGAAAAAAGATGGAAGGAGAATGGAATGAAACATCCTGAAGCTGATCACATTAATCATTTGATGCTAGGGTCCCGTTTGTTGTTCCATCTTTAAATTTTCCCTTTTGTAGAAAAGTACTTGAATAGATGGTTGCCCAATAGAACTAGACTGGAAACATTTCTTAAGTACGACTTTTCTTTGACAGTTTTCAATCTTGCAACATGCTTAATTATGCCACTGAGATACATCCTATCTTATATGCACTTCCTCAAGTGATAGGTTTGGGCAGGGGTGGCCAAACTGCAGCCTAAGTGCCATGGTCAGCCACTCTGTGTGGCCTGCAACAGATCAGGGAGGGGACACAAAGCACAGCAACAGATAGTGCAGGAAGCAGAACACAGAGCAGGAGACTGGTCAGGGAGCACAGAGTAGGGAGCAGAAAGCAGACAGGGCAGAGAAAGGGAATCCGAGTGGCATTTGTGGGGGAGGGGGTTAATTTGCAGCATGCCTGCCAAAAAGGTTGGCCCCTGCTGGATTACAGTGTAACAAATTGTAATGAATTATTTTACTATCTTCTTATTTTGTGTTTTCTTCTAACTTCCTGGATTATAGTGGTTTGCAACAGACACTGTGAAAATGGTGGTGAATGTCTTGCTCCAGATACCTGCCAGTGTAAAGCTGGTTGGTATGGACCAACTTGCAGTACAGGTAAAATTGGGAATTGCTTGGGATCTATGCTCATGGACTGGAAGAAGCCAAAGGAACTCCCAGACCTCAAAATTAGGCACCTTTTGGCTCAAGAAAGGGCCAGTCTCTAGTGTTACTGCTGCAGAACCTTAGTTACCCTTTGTACCTCCAGTTATTAACTCGCTTGTTAGCACTGGATAAGGTATGCAAGTGAATGGCACCTTCAGCTATTTTACCTGCTTTGTTTTTTTTCTTATTGTGCATAGTTATTTAATCCCTGTAACTTCAGTCAATCAAGCTATTCAATCACCCATATAGCTTATGAATTTACATTTGGATTTATTGGGATTTTTTTTTTCTTTTCTTCCACTCTGCAGCCATGTGTAACCCAGTGTGCCTCAATGGTGGCTCCTGTACTAAGCCAAGTGTTTGCCTCTGTCCATATGGATTCTATGGTCCCCAGTGTCAGAATGGTAATAATTCTCCCTCTCCCTCTCCCGCTGTCTTGATGAGATGGCCACTGGGAAAGCAGCTTCTCTAAAAGGACAAACCTTATGGCTTTAAAAATTCTGAGCTAAACACAGATATAACATAGGGCAAGATAGAAATCACACTTTCTTTAAGATGCAATTGCTTATACTGGACCAGATTGTTGTACGAACACAGCTTCATCTGATCCCCACCATGTCTTCGTCTTGTACTCTTGTGCAGAAGTTGGTCATAGTCTGTTGACTATATCTGGGCCATAAGGAGCTTATAGGTACACTGCTACTTGAAATACTAGAGTGCAATGAAGCTGTCACACTTTAGCCATTCATAGAATCATAGAAAATTAGGGATGGATGGGACCTCAGGAGGTCATCTAGTGCAACACTCTGTTCAGAGCAGGACCATCCCCAACTAGATCATCCCAGCAAGGCTTTGTCTAGCTAGGACTTAAACACCTCCAAGGATGGAGATTCCACAACCTCTTTGGGTAACCTGTTCCATTCTCCCTTGTGCTGACAAGATAGTTCCTCCACTTATTGCAGGTAGGTATCTTTCCTTGTCAGTATAATTTCTACCAGGCAGGCATGATTTGGCTGAATGTAAATAATACAAGATTACAACAGTTCAGAAATCAATTATCAATCTATTTGTTTCCCTGGAATAATATGCAACAACAAAAATAAAGCATGTACAATTAATTTTTTTAAAGCTATCTGTAATCCTCCATGTAAGAATGGCGGCCATTGTATAAGAAATAATGTTTGCACCTGTTTGGATGGATACACTGGCAGAAGATGTGAAAAAAGTAAGACAATATAAAATTGCTTCCAATATTTAGAAGCAAAGGTGAATTTAAAGCACAGGTACTAATCAGCAAATGTTGTTTATTTTAAGGTATCTGTGACCCAGTTTGCATGAATGGAGGAAGATGCGTAGGACCAAACATTTGTTCTTGTCCCTCAGGGTGGAGAGGAAACGCATGTAATACACGTAAGTATCTTATACCTAATGTGCATAAAGCCATTAAAGTAAATAAATACCCATTTAGTTGTAACACAACTTTTAGATAAATAATGTAACAGAAGTCTGTTTTTCTGTCCAAACAAAAGAAATTAAGATGACACAAAAACAAAGAAACAAAAACAAAAGAAAGACCAGTTTTCCTCTGAGTACATATTTGCATCAAAATGCAAGGTGTCATATCAGTACCACTGAAACAAAGCCAGGTAGCTTCCAGTTTAACCATGAGAACACAGCATGCAGTACTTTCTAATCCAGGGTAGCACATAATATTTGTCTTCTCTCTCAGTTCTTGGCTAAATAAAAAGGCATCTAAATTTCAGTTGTTCATTCACAGCATCTTGTCTGTTAGAAACTGTTCAGCACACCTGTCTCAAGATCCTAATACAGAATTCACATTATAAATCAGAAATTATCATTTGAATCGATAAAGTGATACTGCTTTGAAATCAAAATGAGTTCCCCAAATGCCTCTTCATTAAATAAATACAGGCACTCCTAAATAATTCTCTCAGTATTTTCATTTTTGGAAGTATTACACTAATTTCAATCCATAGCTATATTTTTGCAACATATTCAATGTTTGATAGGATCAAGCAGATGTAGATTTTAACCTAAAAATATGTTCGTTGCATTGGCCAAAGTATCTAGCTTAAAAAACAAACAAACAAACAAACAGATTCCCCCTCCTTCCCCCCAGACAGTTAAAGCTCCTTTCTAAAACCACCTTATATCAAATCTTTAGAACTGCAGTATGCTCTGTCCTGGCACACAGCTGACTTCCCCTTTCCTGTCATTCAGTTTTATGCATTCTCTTCCCCCATTGCTCTGATCATATAATAACCACTTCACATCCCTGTGCTATGTCCTTTTCCTGAACCCTGCCAACTTTCAAGGTTTTTGTCCTCACCTTTTAGGGTGGTCACTACTCTGCCTCATATACTTTTAATTGCTGTCACATCACTTCCTCTGCTTACCTGAAGTCCTGACAAAGTTTTTTTGGTTGTTTTTTTTAAGTTTTTAAAGACTGGGCTATAACTTGTTTTGTACTTTAAAACCTAGAGATTACATAACTTACTGAATATACCTCATTCCCAGTGGTGCCAGACTTGTTTCCCCACTTCTGTACATCCATAATTATTGCCTGGGTGTCTTCCATCATGCCTCCTACACAGAAAACATCCTTTTCAAAGTGAGCTGTAAAGCCACTATGTTTTCCTCTTATGTAGTAGTAGGTAACTGGCTGTCCTCTGGATCATGGTGTGTGTAAGAGGTCTAGTCACCCAGACCTTTAACACACATGCCTAGAGTATGGAGGAGTGGAAGCTGCTTAAGACCTACCATCCTCCCTCCCCCCTCAGACCACCGAGACAGAATCCAAAGGCCAGGCCAGGTGCAGAGATTCAGTACGTCCATCCATGGCTGTAGCTTCTGCCAGAGAGCAACATATAAGAATTGCTGTACCTCCTGTGAGCCCACAAAAATTAGTCCAACTGCTCAACTGAGAAAGAGAGATTGAAGGACAGACAGGTATGTAGGAGAAGGGCTGTATTTATTTTAGCAATGGCAGAAAATGTTTAAGAAATAGTATATAATACATATTAAAATGGTATGTATTTTGTATCCCTCTCCCGTACCATTTCCTGTATCTTCCTTTGTGCTGCTGAGCTGTACTCGCACCATATGGGCTGGAGGAGTGTAGCTAACAACTCTCCTAAAAATCAGAGATGTAATGTGTATTTGGTGGGGATTTTTGCACAGCCATCTGTCTTCAGGAATGTAAGAATGGCGGGGAATGTATTGGACCAAGCACGTGTCATTGCCCTCCACAGTGGGAAGGAGTTCAATGTCAAACCCGTAAGTCTGATGTGATCTTTACTATAAATGTATTTCTTCAGTGAAGTTAACAAATTGCAAGTTTGCAGACATATATAGTACCCATGACTATTGTGTAATACTTCTGCAGTCTGTCAGAATATGGAGACAAGCAAGGGGTATTCGGTCTCAGTGGGCTGTTCTAACTCATGTACTACAACAACAGACCTGAGGGCCATTGCAGTAGTCCAGAGTAGTTAGGTCCATATCGTAGCCCTTGTCTTTTTCTCAGAGATGCTTCTAGCATGTGCCCATATGGAAGGCTTATGATCCCTCTATCCACACAGAGCCAGTACACACAGATCATGGCTACCCAGCACTGAGGTCATCTGATTTACAAAGAAGTTGATGTTGCTTTTGTGATTAAAGACAAATACGTTTGTACATTTCAGCTGTGTGCAGTCAGAAATGCCTGTTTGGAGGCAGGTGTGTGCGACCTAACATGTGTTCTTGTCGTCCTGGTTATACTGGAGTCTTCTGTGGAAAGAAAATGCAGGTAATTATAGTAAGGGTACATACCTTTAGTAATGGAAAGCTGAAATGGACATCCAGAAATCATCTAGCTCAACCAATTGCAATAAGGCAGGATAATGTATATCTAGACCACCCTAACAGATGTTGACTTAGTGGGTACTTTAAAGCTTCTAGTGAAGGACATTCCACAGTCATATTAGGTAGCTGTTTTACAACCCTAACAGTTAGAAATACCCAAAAGAGCAAATTAACGTTTGTTGCAAATTAGGTGTTTTATTCTCGTCCTTCCTTCAATACGTATGGATAATAATTAATCACTATCTTCTTTATAACAACATATAAAACTGTTCATGTTCTCTTTTCTGGACTAAACAGAATAATTTCATTCAAATCATTCTCACATGCCCTGTTTTTTGCTTTTTGCTGCCTTCCTCTGGACTCTTTCTGATTTGTATATATGTTTCTTAACATGGTAGTGCCCAAAGCACAGTAACACAGCCGAGATCACACTAGCATCAAGTAAAATGGAATTACCTCTTCTGTTAATACATCCCAGAATGAGATTTGTGTTTTAAAAAAAGCACAATTTTTTTATAATTTAATTTGTATAATCCACTTATACACCACAGTCCCTTTTTTGCCATGAAGCTGCATAGCCAGTTGTTTCCCATTTTGTAATTACACATTAAATTTTTTCTTTCCTAAGTGTAGCACTTACCACTTGCATTTATTGAACTTAATCCTGATGATTTTGTACCACTTTTCCAATCTTGTCCTCCAGAGTATTTACAACCCTTCTAAAAGGAATTTAGCGATGTATTTAAATCAAAGTTAACCTTTTCCTGAAGTGTGAAGTAAAGATGGCTTTGAATACTTCAGTCTTCTCTGCATTGTTATTTATTCTTTCCTTTTTAAGAAATGAATTTTCCTTTGTTGTTCTCTTCTAATATGCATAGATAATCTTTTCCTATTACTTTTTGCATCCGTTGCTAATGGTAAGTCACCCTTTCTAATTTTATCTCTGCATTGTTGCATTATTTTCTTATACTGACTCATGTAACCTTAAGTCATGCAGTCTTCTTTCCACTTTTTGAACAATTCTGTTTTTATTTTTAGGATCTTTAAGAACCCTGATTTAGCAATAATAAGCTTTGATTATGCTTCTAGTCTTTCCTGTTGTGTTGAGCTAGTTTGGTATTGTGCCTTTTTGTACAGTCTCTTTTAGTAACTGCCATCTTTCCATAAAGCTTCAGAATAAACAGGGAAAAAAATGATAGAACTTCAGTGATTTAAGTTCAACATATCTTGAGTTTTTTGAATAAATACTGGCAGTTAAAACCCACAATCCATTTTAACCAAACATTAATTTGAGATGTGCATTGTGAGATAATTATTAAAGAAGAGCCAGGTATTTATCAATTGATGAAAGAATTAATTAACGCTCATGTCATTTTTTTAAAATGTAAAACTCTGTCGTAACTATTTTTTTTTAATATCAGGATAATATGTTGGATTGCAATATCGGTAAGTTGGGTTTTCAAGAGGAACTTAGTTTATATATCAGCACAAATTATAAAATTGGGTGCTCAAGAAATAATTTTGATTCTAAGGTCAAACTGTAAGGTGATTCTGAATCGTTTAAACTATTCTTAAAATGTTAAACATTTCACATAAACAATTTGGTCCAATTACTACTGACATTTTGCTTCCAATCAGTATGAACACATGCCACTGAAAAACTGCTTTCCACATTGTATTCTAGGGTGCATACACATGTACTAAGGTGACCTAACAAAGTCAACTTAACTAAGTTGACTTAACTTAAGCCATGTCAGAGCATACACTTGTGTAGCTCCCTTGATACGGTGGCAGCCATCTTGAGAGCTGCCATCTTGTGAGCTAAGGGAGGAGGTGTATTATCTTCACAACATTTAAGTAACCTCTTCTCCATATACATTTGTACACTCTGACAATTAAGTTGACTTAAAATCAAGTCAGCTTAACTTTCAGAAAGTTAATATGTGTATGCATACCCCTACTTTCATTTTTTAGAAAAACAGCTTATTTAGTTTTACCAAAAAATAAAGTAACTGAAAGCAAATCATCAATTTTCAGCATGAATGTTGCATTTCTGAAGCTATCAGGAAAGTAAAGATACATTGGAAATTGTTCTGTAAATTCATGGTACAAATTGTTCTGAGTACACTAATTCTCTCCCTTATTTCTTCTTCACCAAGGTACAAAAACATCACAGTTGAAGGAAATCAAATACATGAATTCCAGGACCATGCTGGATGGACCAAGAGACTTATGAATTCAGAGAGAGTCTTTGAAAGCAATAATTAAGTTTATTGAAATAAAGGGAGCAATGTGCTGTAGTATGCCTTTAAAATATTCATTATGATTTAAAAAACAAAGACATACATTTTGTAAAAGCTGCAGTACAATCACATGCTAATAACAGACATTTAATCTACTATTTTTCCGTATCCTCTGGCTACCTCACAATCAAATTACAGCATCCAACTTCCTATTGAACTTAAAATTAGGAAATATTGCAAATCTCAAGTCATGGTATGCTGGAGCCTGGAGAAGCAGTCAATGGAACTGGGATCTGTAATGAATACCCTTTTCTAAAGGCCCATTCATACCAGCTGCTGAGCATCTGCAAAGAGCAAATTGCAGAAACAGCCCATGAAATCATGCGTTTTGTTTTCATACACTTACTGAAGAGAGTGCAACTTCTGTGTCTGATTTCTGAGGGAAATCAGGTCTGCTTTTTAATCTAGTTCACTTAGTTATGATCATCCTTGGTCTGTGTTGTAGTGAATAACTTGTGAGGCCTAATGAGCATAATCCTAAAAAGATAGGATTGAAGTACCAATAATCACACGTACCATCCATAGTCAGATACCGAACAGTCCTGGATTAATCCAGCAGTGAGAATTATCATCACCTTCTCTGTTGGTAATTTGGGACTCATGTCAGTGTGAAGTTATAGGACACCTTTCCTACATTGTGCTGTTCTTGAAGTATATTTTGTCTGCCCCATCCCACTGATGGTTGGGATTTGGGGGACTGGGGAACATTCTTTCAGTTTCCAAATCTGGCATAAAGGCATGAGAATGTTTTTATCCAGAGATGTTCCCAGATGGTCCTTGAAAAAGCAGAAGAGTGCTGAAAGAGAGAAAGGATCAGTGTCTTTAAAGAAGTAACAGATGCTTCATCTGTTTCCTTAGAAGAAAGTGACATAGCCACCAAAATTAGTCGTTTACAAATGTCTGTAGAAAGCTACAGGACTTCTTTCTTCTGTCACCCATTGGTCCAGGTAACTGTCAACAACTTCTGGCAGCAAAATTCAAAGGTCTGTCCTGAGGCTTTCTAAGCATTAGGGCCTCAGCAGCCAAGTGTGAAAGGTCATTTCTGTCCATAAAGCAACCAACAGAGTGCTTGGAAGTGATGCAAATTTCCCCTTATCTAGATACTGTCATTCACAGTGTAAAAATTGAGTTTTGAAGCTCAGTTTTGCAGGGGATGGGCCTGTGCCAATCAAGGGCCAGTCCTGGCCTTGTTTGCTATGAGTAGCGCTGCCAAGCGCAGCCCTGTCCCCTGCAACCAGTGCCATGTTCAGCACTTGGCTGGCGCAGCTGGACTCGGTGCTCGGCTGGTGCAGCCCCATCCCCTGCAAGTGGCACTGGGCTTGGCCCTTGGTTGGTGCAGCCCAGGCAGCGCCACTCACAGGGGTTGGGGCTGCACCAGCTGAGGGCTGAGCATGGCCCTAGCCCTGGCAAGCAGTGCTGCAGCACACGTCCACCCCCCAGGTGCCTGGCCCACAGTGAGGGCATGCAGGGGCTGGTATAAGGCGACCCTATATTTCTGATCCAAAAAGTTAGGTCAACTTATACACCAGATCTACAAAATCCCTATTTTTTTAATCAGAAAAATGGGGTCAACTTTTATATCGTGTTATCCTATATACTGTGAAATATGGTAATTGCATTTGCAGTTCTTAATTATGTGTTTACCATAAAGAAGCCTTACAATTTCCAGTTCAGCTGATTGACGCAGAGTCTGTATAGCTGGCATTTCCACCAGTTTGGAACTGGCAGGATTTAGCTAACTGACTTGATGCTGCCATGCAAATACCAGGCTAGAGCTGTTACCTTCATGATCGCTGCTTGGCCACTCCCCGAATACATTTCTCTTAATAGCCTTAGTTGACATTTTCTGAACTCAGCCTCCTCCCAGCACAATACTGTTAGATTTCTGAGCATATTACTGTAGGGTGTTTCAGAAGCCTTTTCAATTTCCCACTTGCATTTTAAGTTGCAGACAAACTGCTGTGTCTGCTTTTCAACAGCTTCCTTAAATACCAGCATCTAACTGGCAGAGAGCCAAATTTGCTGGAAGCAATTTGTCTCATATTTAAAATCAATTCAGATGAATCATGTGAGGAAAAGCTATATTCCACCACCATCCACTATCCTGGAAACTGTTGGAACTAACAGGAGTGTCCCACAAACGCACAGGATTTTTAAAACATTTTTTAAATTGATGTACTAATGTTGCACGAACCACACTTGAAACAAGCCTGTTCCAAGTAGCATTTTATCATGGCAGCATTCTAATAATGAAAGGGAATGTTGTCAGTGACTTATTGTTACGATTTGTTTTGTTAACAAGCTTGCACATCCCTTCACTCACAAATTAATGAGTCTGTCAGATTTGTACCAAATGAACCCCTAGAAAGATGCATTTTCAGAATCATATCTTATTGGAATTGCCAAGTTATTGTCACTAACCACACTATACATTTCTTTTCTAAAGTATCTGGAAAAGAAACTGCAATCAGCAGAGCTAACTTTGGCCTACATTAGTTAAAATCTGAAGGAGACAACACTGTGAAGCCATTCTGTGTTTCTGCAAATGCAATAAAGCAAAATAAATCTTTGGTATCTACCTAAAGTAAGACTTCCAGAGCTTTATGGTATTTGTGTAGTATTTTATTCTCCAGATTGTAAATCATGTATGTGAAATAAAAGCTGTTTATTATCTTTCTAGACTTTTGTTCTTAATTTACATTGCAAGGCTGAAAATATATTTCCAGAGGTTGTTGCCACTCCAGAAATTTAAAGTGGAAAATCTCCAAAGTGTCTGTTTTCCTATGGATGCTATTTACATTCATAGCTTCCTGGTATATCAGTGGATATGCTAGAAATTGACTTTGTAAAGGGTTAAAAGGTATTATGCAAAGGTGTGGTAAGTGTACAGTTTATCAGGGTGTCTAATGAGGAAGCAAATTAATGTAAATAGTTATAGAGAGTGATAAGGTCAGTAGGGCTAAGGGAGTTATCCAAAGGTTGTTTAATATGATTTGAATTAGAGATAAAAAGAGCTTTTGTTTCTGCATCGAAGGCACCCCTATGCAGATCACTTCTGTAGCAAAGAAAGAAATTTTATGCACAACTATAGACTCACAGTTCATGGGGCAGACAGCAATATCTGCATTTTTAGGATAGTCTCTCTGGCTTTCTTTCTCTGGTCCAAAATCTAATTGTCCAGGAAACCAGGCATTGTCCACGAAATCTAAAAAAACCCCACAAACAAAAAACCTTACTAAAAATAAAATGCTGGCTCCCCTGAGAGAGCCCACAGACCTCACGGCCGCTGCAGTCCAGCCTTGCAGCTGCCCCCCACCCCTCATCACTGATTGGCTGACAGGGCTGCCCATTGTGCAGCCCCATCCCTGTCCAGTCAGCAGTGAGAGGCAGGGCCACCAAATGGACAGCCCTCAGCCAATCAGCGGCAAGGGGCAGGGCCACTGGGGCCCTTCTGCCAATCAGCAACAAGGGACAGGCTTGCCATGAAAAGGCCACAAAATCAGCTTCATGCATCGTCAGCAGCCTGCGAAAATCTCTTTAGCTCACCATGACTTTGGTAGATCCCTAGATATGTGATAGCTGTATTTGCGATATTGTTCCTCTGAATCCTGAATATCCTCTGTATCATATCACAGATGAAACTGTGGGCTGAGAGCAGCATTCCTCCGTATTTAGTCAAACTGAAATAGGCCACAAACAAGATAGATTTCTATCTAAGATCACACAAGATCAGATAATGTCATGTAGAATTTTGAATATTTCTGGAAGGAAAAAAAAAAGTCATCTTTCACACATGAACCACCAAATGAAGGACAGAATGAATAGCTTCCTTACATTTCTATCTTGATTATGTAGCTTTTCACATGTGCCCTGTCCTAATCCAATTTGTTTTCAGACAAATCTATTATGTATAATAATGGCTCTACATAAATGATAATATAACAGTTCAGTCCAGCACAATGCAAACCCTTGAAGAATCATTTAATTCAGGGGTAGACAATATGTGGCACAGGCAGCTTCTGTATGTGGCATGCAGCAGACTAGGGAGGGGACAGGCAACACAAGCAAGATAAGGCAGGGAGCAGAAAATAGAGAAACAAAGCAGACTGGGAACACAGAGTAGGGAGCAGCTAATGGGATAGGTGAACAAGGCAGGGAACAGAAAGAGCAGCTGATCAAGCCTGGGAAGATTATGGAAATGGCACTCAGGGAGGGTGTGAAGCTAATTTGCGATACATTTCCCAAAAAGGTTGGCGTCCCACTGCTTTACTCAGTGCAATCTAAAGTGTTACAACACCTTAACTTACTTATTGCTTGGATTTACTAAAATTCATTATTCAGCCCTGTATGTTCAAATTTAAAGCTTAAATTCACACTAAAAATATTGTGAGCACAGACAATGAAAAAAGCAGAAAAGGTTAGCAAATTTTAGTACTGACCAATGAGATTAATCTATAAGAAGTACTCTGTAATGCCTTTCAGTAAAAAAATATAATTAGTGCAATCAACAAATAATATACACCAGCAGTTCAGCATGGGAAAATGATTCTGTAAGTCTGGTAACAAAAGTTATACTGCAGGCAAAAACAGTGGCTGAATTTGCTACAGCCACTGACATTGGAAGAGGCATGAGGATGAGCTAAATCTCATTGTTAGAAGATTACCGGGGGAAAAGTGACAGCCCATCAGAAATACAGCTAACACAGTCCCCTTAGTTTTTCCTGGAACAAACATATTTCACTGGACCTCAAAGATACAGATAGTCATAATCCACATGGGGTGTACTGTCAAGCTGTCTCATATAACATTTTCTTGACACAGATGATAAACTTCTTCATATGATAAACATATACATAAGCATCTTTCCACAGTTCTGAATAGGGAGATATACCCACGTCCAAAGAATTATATACAGAAAATAGAATGTGTTAAATCTTCCAGCAAAAAGCCAAAAACGAACATGGACTTATTGTAGCAGCAACATGAAGTACTCAGAAA